GAAACTAGGCGCAGATATATTCATTCCAGCTAGACGGACCTTTGGGGAGCGCGAGCCCAGCAAGAAAGTGGCGGCCGGCGGAGAGGATCGGCTTCCTTTCCCTCTCCCGCAAAAAGAGAGGATGATGAGGATGATGGAGGAGGCGTCGGAGAGAGCGTGGGCTCTGGAGAGAGGCAAAACCAAGCGGAGGGCAAGAAGGCTCTCTATCTGGCGAGGGGAAGAAAAAAAAAGGACTCCAGGAAAACCAGGCGCTTCAAGGGCTTAAATGCGCTCCCCCTTTTCCCCTCCGAGGAGGAGGCGGCCGAGATGAACTTGGGGGAAAGGATGCGCCCTCCGACGGGGCGACATTATAAAGGCTTCGGTCCCCTTCGGAGGCGGAAGGAGGGGGAAGGGGGAGGGCTCGGCCGGCCCCATCAGGAACACCCGCGCCGGGACTGGAGGGGGGGGGACGGGCGCCCTCCCTCCGCGCCCCTGTCGCCGCTTCTTTTCCGTCGGGTTTTTTTTTTTTCACCAGGAACGGCGGGGGGGCGGGCTCGCTTGGAGGACCGTTACTAGAACCTCCCGCCCCCCTCCCCCAATGTAACTTTCCAAAGAGGCTCTAGAACGCGGGACAACATGAAAGGCCTGTGTGTGAAAGATGGACTGGTCGGGGGATTCTGGGACTTGTAGTGTCCCCCCGCCCCCACTGCCTAAGTAACTTTCCGAAGAGGCTGTGGAGCAGGGTGACGACATGAACAGCCTGTGTGTGAAAGATGGACTTGTCTGCGGATTCTGGGACTTGTAGTGTCCCCCCCTCCCCACTGCCTAAGTAACTTTCCGAAGAGGCTGTGGAGCAGGGTGACGAAAGATGGACTGGTCGGGGGATTCTGGGACTTGTAGTTCCCAAAGTAACTTGGAGCGGACAGTTTGCAATGAGCTGACAAAATTAAAGGGGGAGGGCCGTTGGGCTGGCCAGTGGATTCTTGGACTTTGTAGTAGCTTTGAGAGAACAATTTCCAGAGAGGCAGTGGAACATGGGTGTCGAAACTCGAGGGAAAAGAGTGTCTCTGAGGAACCTGGATTTTAACCCGCGTGCGTCCGCCCAAACCACCTTTCCTCTTCACGGGGCCACAGTCCTCTTGTCCTTTTGTTCTCTCTTCCCCGGTTTCTCCCTCTTCCCATTCCCGCCCCCCCCCTTTTTTAATTCGCTTCGGAGGCCACACGCGGAAGAGGGCCGCTCGGCTATGCTCTCCAGCGGGCGGATCCGCAGCCGCGGCTCTGCGCGCTTTTCGAGCCGGGTGCCGTCGTTTCAGAACGAAAGCCGGTGCCAAACGGGGCACTTCGGGAGGTCTAGAAAGCTGCCGCTCGGCGGTCGCTTCGTCACCATCTTCCACCGCCTCTCTGGAAACTGGCCCCGCAAAGTTACTACAAGTCCCAGAATCCGCTGACCAGCCCGACGTCCCACTCCCCCCCTTTAATCTTATCACCTTGCTCCGCCACCTCTGTGGAAACTGTCCGTTCCAAGTTACTTTGGGGACTACAAGTCCCAGGATCTCCCCCCCCCCGCGTGTTTAAAAGGGGACGTGGTTTGAAGTGGTTGCTTCCAGAGGGTCGGGAGGCACCGGGTGCGCGCGCCCTTTAGAGTTGGGTAGTTCTTCGGAGCAGGAAACGGACTCTTGTACCTGTTACTCTGCAGCGCCGAGGACGTTAAAAGTAACGAATCAAAAGAAGAGAGACAGCTTTCCAAATCTCAACGTTCTCTCGACTCCCAGCCTAGCATCTCTTGGTGTCTCTCTCACAGATTTGTGCAAATGATGGGGTGCAGAGAGGATCGGGGACCGAACTCTGTGGCTGATGGCGGATCAAATTCCTGCCAACTCAGGAGCCAGCATTTCATTTCCAGGTTGTGCGTCACAGGAAAATGGGAATACTGATCATGCAACCAGAAGTTACTCTTATATACAGATAGTCCCTATCACAGCAGGAGCTTTCTGTACCTCATTGCCTTTGCAAACTAGGTTGCGTCCTGATTGTTTGGCTTCCTGTCTCTTTTCTGCTGTTTCTTTTCAAAAATCTGCCTAAATTTACTTTAAAAGAGCCTGTGCAACATTATGCGCACTTTCACCCTGATTTGATTCTCAGACAGGTAGGTGCTTTTACTACTTTTATCTTCCATGATAGTGTCAATATAATGTCAGGTGATTGTGCAGCTGCAGCCCACCTAGATAAGAAATGACCAGCAATAGTGGTCCACAGATTGCTAATCTCAAAGCTAGACTACTGTAATGCTCTCCGCATAGGGCTGCCCTTGAAAACTGTACAGAAATGCCAGCAGGTCCAAAATGCAGCAGCCGCACGGATTACTGGGACTAGTCAATTTCAGCTTTAATCTCCAGTCTTCGTTGGCTCCCTGTCAGTTTCTGTGCTCAATTCAAAGTGCTGGTTATGACCTATGAAGCTCTTAACAATTTGGGACCTTTATACGTGTCAGAATGCCTCTTCCAGAACCCAGCGACCTCTTCCACTTCTCTTAATTCTTGTTGCTCAAAGTGACCACACCAAAGGAAGCCAATAAACTGATGACAATGAATCAGGTAAGGATCCTGGCAAGCCTTTTGGTACCAAGTCCCAAGTCCCTATTAAAAACAAACTCCCCCCCCCCGAAAAAATGGATTCTGGGTGACAAGTTGAGTCCAAGTCATTTAAACAACAACAACAACAACAACAACAACCCTGAGTTGACTCCAAATCAAGTCACTGGTGTGACTTAAGTCCAACTTGACAGTGAGTCCCTGAAATCAGGTCTTTTCGTGGCCCTCAGTTCCAGCTGAGATGTGCCGAGCTTCTTCCTTCCTTATGTTCAAGAAATTTGTAAAAATGTAATTTCTCCTGCGTGTGTTCACTGCCTTGGGGTGCTACGCATCTTGACTTGGATGGCGGCTTGGGAGTTGCTGCCCTGCCTCAGGCAGCAAAAAGGCTTCAGTGGCTCAAAAGTGTAGAAGCAAGGAAGAAGACGAGCCTTCCACATCTGGCCCCAGGATTCAAGGCGATGTGGTGTCGAGCAGCCGTTCTTAACCTTTTCTTTACTACGGGGAAAGGTGAAGGTAACGGTAAGGGTACCCCTTGACATTAGTCCAGTTGTGTCCGACTCTATCCGGACCTGCACAACGCGGTGCTGATCTGGAACTGCTTATAGTACTGGGTGAAATTTCTTGATATTGTTCCCAAAGCC